AAAAAAAAAAAAAAAAAAGGGTCACGGGGATAAATTTTGCAAGCCGCGAAACCAGACCCGCGAGCTGCCCAAAATTCGCGAGCGCAAGCATTTTCAGAGTTCCAAGCTTGCGCCCTCAAATCCTGCTTCGCAGGCTGCCCGAAAATTCGCGAGCTATCGTCATTTTCAGCACGGGAAGCTCGCCCCGCGCCCGCGAGATCCCGCTCGCCCGTGCCGCTTGCACACTAATGAAAGTATCAGTTTTGGGAATTATAATACCGCTTCTTCTTCTATGTGGTACCTGTTTTTTATCAATTAGTACCAACTTTTGGTCAACAAAAATGGATTATTCAATTGTGGTCAACATTTACAATAATTGGTACCATACCTAGAGTAATATAGTACCAGCTTTCTGTGTTTTAGTACCGCATATTGTGTTTTCAGTACCACTTGTAGCGAACAAATAAAAACACCGAATTTCGGTCTCAAATAATGTTTATATGACCAATAATCCCTCTCACATTAGTTTGTATGAGATTTAAAATATTTTAAATTGAGTTTAATCGTAAAATGGTCATGAACTCGACACACTAATGAGAAAACACTACTAATACACTTCATTTCATTGAGTGGCACACTTCATCTCATAGAATCATTATACATGACTACTCCAAATTCTACCTATATGTTCTAACTTCCACTAATTTTCATCCAAATCAGGCGTGAACGATCCACGTGTCATGGTAGACATGAAGGATTAGAGAAATCACGATTCTTAAAATAGTACCTATTATAGCCAATATAGTACCGCATTTTACTTCTACTGTTACCTGTTTTTGATCAATTAGTACCAACTTTTGGTCAACGAAAATGGGTTATTCAATTGTGGTCAACATGTGCAATAATTGATACCAAAACTAGAGTAAGATAGTACTAGCTTTCGGTGTTGTAGTACCAGATATCGGGTCTTTAGTACCAACTCCGACGAACATAAAAAAAAAAGATCTAAAATGATGTTTATATGACCAATAATCACTCTTACATTAGTTTGTATGAGATTTAAAATGTTTTAAATTGTGTTTAATCGTAAAATAGTCATGAACTCGACACACTAATGAGAAAACACTACTAATACACTTCATTTCATTGAATGACACACTTCATCTTATAGAATCATCATACATGACTACTCCAAATTCTACCTATATGTTTGAACTTCCACTATTTTCTCACCCAAATCAGGCGTGAACGATCCACGTATCATGGTAAACAAATAGGATTAAAGAAATCATGATTACTAAAACGGTACTAGTTTTGACAGAAATAGTACTGTTTCTTGTTCTGCGTAATACCTATTTTTAATCAATTAGTACCTATTTTTGGTCAACGAAAATGGATTATTCAATTTTGGTCAACATTTGCAAAAATTGGTACCCAACCTAGAGTTAGATAGTACCAGCTTTTGGTGTTTTAGTACCAGATATCGGGTCCTTAGTACCTACTCCGACTAACACAAAAAAGCACCGAATTTTGGTCTCAAATGATGTTTATATGACCCATTATGACTCCCACATTAGTTTATATGAGATTTAAAATGTTCTTAATTAAGTTTAATCGTAAAATGATCATGAACTCGACACACTAATGAGAAAACACTACTAATACACTTCATTTCATTGAATGACACACTTCATCTAATAGAACCATCATACATGACTACTCCAAATTCTACCTATATATTTTAACTTCCACAATTTTTTATCCAAATCATGCGTGAACGATCCACGTGTCATGGTAGACCTGAAGGATTAGAAATCACGATTCTTAAAATAGTACATGTTTAAGCCAAAATAGTATTGCATCTTTTTCAATGCGGTACCTCTTTTTTATTGATTAGTACCTACTTTTGTGAACAAAAATAAATTATTTAAATTTTGGTCAACATTTACAAAAAGTAGTACCAAACATAGAGTAAGATGGTACCAATTTTATATTGTTGTAGTACCTGATATTGAGTCTTTAGTACCACTTGTAATGAACACATAAAAACACCGGTTTTACCTATAATAGCACCAGTTTGCTTCTTTGTAGTACTAAAACAGTACCAGTTTACCTATAATAGTACCACATTTGTTTCTTTGTAGTATCGGTTTTAATTCCATTAGTACCTACTTTCGTTGACTCAACTAAAATGGATTATGTAGCGCCACGATTTTATTCATCTATGAGATTGCTCGACTTTAGTCCCAAGAAATAGCAAGTAAATTATTCTAAGTCTCAAGAATTCAATCCAAGTACTTAAATTTAATATTTTAAGCACCAAGTTAAATTGCTAAAATTCCAAGCACAAAATGTTAATTCAAAAATTAATCCTAACTCTAAGTTTTTAATTAAATTGGTAAATATGCCAGTTAATATAATTTATTAAGTCAAGAAATACAATATAATTTTTATAAAGCCGGTTCGAGTCCCCCTTTGCGCTCCTTCCACTATTTTTTTTTGCACTCATACTAAAATTTAATTAGTACCTGTTTTATCCGACATAGTACCGCATCTTGTTCTACGTGGTACCTGTTTTTAAACGATTAGTACATATTTTTAATTACTATAAGTGCAAAAAAAAATGGTGGAAGGATCGTGCAAAGAGGGACTCACCCGAGTCTAGGCGAGTTCACACTCTCAAGGCCACCTCCTCTACCATCCTACCGCTAGGCGATCACATTATTTATGCGCATATTTAATTGTTATACCTTTGCCTCGAGATTTATAATGTCCTACTTAACCTCCTTAGCTTATAAAAATTATATTGTACTTCTTCACTTAATAAATTATATTAACTGACCTATTTACCAATTTAATTAAAAACTTAGACTTCGGATTATTTTTTGAATTAACCTTTTGTGCTTGGAATTTCACCAATTTTATTGGGTGCTTAAAATATTAAATTTAAGTACTTGGATTGAATTCTTGAGACTTAGAATAATTTACTTGCTATTTCTTGAGACTAAAGTCGAGCAATCTTATAGATGAATAAAATCGTGGTGCTACATAATCAATTTTCATTGAGTCAACAAAAGATGTACTAATTGAATTAACACGCTTTCGAAAATCATCGGCGCCGCCACTGAATATTAGCCCCTCTCCTTTGATGCAAAATCTGCAAGAATCGATCGATTTATCTTGCACTAAAAACTTCAATTCTCCTTCTGAGAAATCAACATACGGTACGATTTTCCTGCGTTCATGATAAAATAATACAAAGATTTATAAATAATGGAACTGTTTACAAAAATTAATGAACTATGATATGATAAATACACCATATTTCAACATTACTCGCTCATGCTCATCGGGATGGATTGAACTCCATCACCCGGTGTTTCATTTCTTCCAATGATCAGACTTTTATTTCTTTCAATAACAAGTATCTCTACTATATTTAATTTCCAGCAAACATGTAACCGAATCATGTTTTTCACATCATCATCATCGGACAAACTAACTCTCTCTCTTTTTCTTTTTTTTCTTTGGCGCAATATAGTTTAACATGACGGTTTCCAAATTAACAATCTGCCACATCTTAGCAATGAGAGTGTACACTTCGTCAAACGTTGATCCAAGGTGCATAAATAACGCATACAATTCATTTTTGTAGGTACAACTCCCTAATATATCACTTTGTGCCCCCTCCATGTATCTAACAATAATTGGATAAAACAAAACAACTTCATATTTCCCAGCACATATGGTACTAAATAGTGAGCAACGTGGTACTAGATATACAAACAGAGGTACAAAAATCATGAATAGTGCTACTATGATTATTATAATCTTATTTTTTTTTGTTTTATGGTGAATAACACTTAACATAACCTAACAATAGCATAAATTTTGTATACATGAACAACAAAAAAATGATTATGATCACTTTATTTGTTTTAGGGTAAATATAAACAGCTATTCAAAATTGAATCCTTAACAAATTAACCAAAAATATATGAATTAAAGATGATTGTTGGACTCCAAAGTCCTCATATAATACATAGATTACTTACTACTTCAAGTTTTCGCCGGAAAAAGGCTCAATGTTGCCGGAAAAATATGAATTTTCGGCCGGAGAAATTTGACGTCGGGATCACTTAATTCGCCGGATTTGTTGCCGCCGGAGTTCATCTCGTCGGGTTTGGTGTCGCCGGCGAGATGAAGCTGCAAAAAAAACAAAAAAAACTGGAAGATGAAGCTACATAAAAAATGAGGGAGATGGTGATTTGTGTGTGGAAGAAGACAAAAATAAAATATTACTATTTATGTAAGGTTAGGCAAAAGAAAAATAATTAAATAATATTGTAAATAGGTATGGTAGTGGGATGATGTCACACTAGAATTTCTTTTTGAGTTATTTTAATAGGAGGGATTTAAATGGAAGTTGAATAGAGGGTAGGGAGTAAAATAGATAGAAATTATTACTAGGGACTGACTTGGAAGATGGAATTAGGATTGTGGATTTTTAAAGAAAACTCCCTACAATTAATATTTCCTATTTTTTTGCTTAATATTTTTGATAAATAATTATTCTTATAATATATCCTACAATTAATCCATATACTTCATCTAATTCTATGTTACATTGTCTTATAGACCAAATATCACTTCAAGTACTAGCTACTACTGGCTCATAATCGAAACTCTACAATCGTCATTAATTTATTGGAAAGAACTCGAAAAATCGAATAGGCGCCAATTTAGTCCCCAAGCTCGAACCACATCTTTCTTCACAATCACTCTCCTCGATTTCGGCCTTAACAACTGGAAAAAGTTGTAGAGTTTTCCGATTATTTTCCTTCACAATCCTGCTCTCGACATATTCGAACCCAACATCTTTACCGGTGCACGATTTTTTACCCACATAGGATACTTCACTTTCTTGGGCAGGAGATTTAATGTTAGGTGATAGTAATAAGTCCAAACTGCAGAATGTATGGGGGCCCTTTTGTTGCTGCAATTCTTTACAGTTACTATGTGTCCACTTTCCTTGTCTGCATTCTTCTCCTTGCATTGATGCAGTACACTGCAAAAACATTAAATAAAAATGTATTAAAAAAAAATTTACAGTACATAGTAAAATTAGAAGATATTTTTTTTTTTTTTTGTGTGCACTGCCCAAGAAAATTCTAAGTTCTATCTACATTGTCTACAGCATATAATATACAAACAGCCCCATATTGAGAGGGGCAGCTTTTTAATGGTGCAGTGGCTCATATTTTTTCCCCATCATGCAAAAGCCTTGTTTCATTTTGCATTCAATTCTTTGACCTTTGTGCTGTATAATTGGCCCATAATTTTGTCTCTGGTTTTTGTCTTTGCAAACGGTAGGTCAGATGTTGAGTTTGGTGCCATGGAAATTAAGATTTAAGAAATGGTAGGCTAAAACTAATTTGCTTTATTTAGTAAAAATGAAATAAAAAAATAAAATCTAATTTCCAAAAGTGCTCATTGGTAAATTTAAAAGTTTTATTTATTTATTTTTTTTAATTTGTTAATATGGGGATGTGGATTTTGTAATTAAGCAACGGCTTAACCATTAGTTTTGTACGTAATTACGTATACTCTTTTCAGCTAAAAATATGCATAGTTTTATTAAAATGTAATATTTCAAAAAATAATATAAATAAAAATATGACATATATGTACGTATTTTTTGTTCCTGAGAGTATGAGGTCGACTCACGCGATGGTTAGACCAACTCACGCAAAAATTTGTGATTAACTAATTATGCTTCAGAGTGTAACTAATTAACTTACAATTTTTTATTAACTAATTATGCTTCAGAGTGTAATTAATTTACTTTGATTACCTCTGAAGTTGTGCTGCTGCTTGAGGGTGTAAGCAACCTCTTAGGATGTTTGGTTTCCAGATATCCTGCAAATGATCATTTTTTCTAAATTTTTTTAATTTGAATAAAAATTATGATACATTAATCCAAAGAAAAAAAAAAAAACGTGTCACCCTAATTTGAAATTATCCGTGAATCCGAACAACATATTACAAGATTTTGCACATTCAGGTCTAACCGTAATAAATTATGTAGATGAAAAAGACTAATAAAGCACATTATCAAGAAATTAAATCCTAGTTTTAATATGACAACTTCCTAATTTTGACCTTTTTTTTTTATACTGTTACGCAATTAAATCACATTAAATGCTCTCAACAACAACGAGCATAATTAACTATATAATCCGAGTATGAGGTCAAAATTAATTGTTCAAGATTGACTTCCTTAATGTGATGTGCATCAAAAAAACATGCATGAAAGAATAAAAAAAAACAAAAAAAATCTTAATTCCCATGTACTATACTAACATGCCAAGTGCATTAAAACTTGAACAACATACATAATGATCATATTAATGAAAAAATAAAATAAAAAGTATACCCGATTGTTTATTTTCCCGCCCGATCATCTCAAAACCTCGCATTTTGTCCTTAGCCGCTAGCAGTCGGCGCTTTTTCTGCCTTTCTCGAGCCTTATGATTTTGAAACCAATAGAACACGTTTTTGCCTTCGATTTTTCCAAACTTTTTAAGTTTTGCTGTGATTTGCTGTATTTGTTTGGCCGATGGCGTTTTAATCCCGTGATACATTTCTTCTAAGGCTTGCACTTGCTCGCTAGTCGGGTTCCATCTCGAGCTCATTAATGGCGCCATATTATTGCTTCTCATCTCTCTTTTACCTACATAATCACCTTCAAAAAAAATTAAAACAAAGTGAATAATGAATAATTACCATTTTATCTAAAAAATTAATTACAAGGAGAAAAATAAATGTAATTAAAAAAGTGATTAATAATAATAATAATAATAATAAATAATAATAATATAATAGGAGATACATATATATAGTATAAGAATGCATATTACCTAGAGTTAGGGTTTTGTTCCATGTGGGGAGGTTAATGTTGTGAGTGTAAAAACAAGGAGATGGAAATGGTTTCGGGTCATGTATTTGGGTACGGGTCGAAATATTCGGGTCTTGGCCATGGTTATTGTTACATTCTACAACCCACGTAATTTGACTTGTGAGTGTGGTAGAGAAGTAGGGGAATTTAAAGGAAGATTTTGTTGAGTAGAAAAAATAAGTAATAAAAAAAAATGGTGGACTTTTCATGAATGAAATGACCTAACATGGTACGTAGTTGAGTTACATATAGAAATAGGAGTTTGAATTAATATAATGTAATAATAAAAATTGTGTCAAAGGGAATTCTCTAGGCCCGAGATATGTATGTATCTGTGTGTGGATTTTATTTATTATTTATTATTTTTTTTTTCTTTTAGTGAGTTTTCAGAGATGGGGACTTGACAAGGAAACAAAAGGAAGAGAAGGCACGGATTTGAGTTTGTTTTGTTTTGTCATTTTCCCTTCTTTTTTTTTTCTTTTTTCTTTTTCTTTTTTTCTTGGTGGGATGTTGTGAAAATGAATTTAGTTGGCTATATATATATATATATGTAAGTACGAATTGTGTGTGGAAGGTTAGAGGAGGTCTTAAAAGAATTGAAAAGAAATGGGAAAAGGGCATGGCGTGGAAGTACTTCTTGTGAGATTTTTGGGAGTTAGAATTGTAAAAGCGAGTTGACATTGATGAGTTTATGACGAGCTAGTTTTTACTTTTACAATTATTATTATCATCATTATTTATTTTTATATGTGAGTTAAATTAAAGTAAAATCTTTGGACTAGTGACAAAATGCGTACTTATACAGTTATATACAACATCTATATATATATAAAAAGAATTACTATTTACTAAATATAGTAGCAAAAAAGTCAATGAGCATTTAATGTATACTTTATTTGGAAACTTTCAAATATATGCATTAATTGCTTTAATATATACACATTTCCAAATCATGTATTATCAAAAAGATTATTTCCTTGAATAATTTTATTATCATATGCAATAATTTTATTGATATTCATTATAATAAACTATAATTTGATTTTTCATAATTGGTGTTGATAATATTTTTGTCAACATAACCATGAAAACAAATTTTAAGTCTTAACTATAATATTAATTTTTTTTTAAAATGTTGACTTTCATCCTAAAATATTTATAAACAATCGTAACATGTTAAATAATTCTCTCTCTAACTAATTAGCCGAAATTCAGTTGGTGAATACTAATTTTCGATAATATTTTTTAACCTTTATTTAATTATATGAACGAATAATTTCTTTAAACAAAAATAAATTACCATTTAAGAGATAATGATCACATCATTAAATAATTTATTAACGGCTAAATAATAAAATTAAAATATATTAACTATTCTTTACAGTTTCAATATTTGATTTATTTGTATATTATTGTCAACCACGATAATTTTATCATTTTTTATTTTTATTTGTTTCCATAATGAATGTATTGTAAAATATATATTTATATTGCATAGTATGTTAAATAAACTAATAAAACCTTAGGATGCAAATTAGAAAAATCTCTTGATTATATAAGGGTTTATTATTTGACAATTTGCTAAATCAAATTTTTTTAATTATTGTGAGAAATTTTAAAAAACATGTGTGTGTATTTTATAAACATTTATACACAAAATTTTATTTTAAACTTCATTACATAAACTAAGGAGAAGTAGACAACTATTATAACCTTTATAAATAATAATAATGACATTATATGACAACAAATATTATAATAAAATATTAATTGAGTATTAAATGGTGAACAAGAATAAGAATAATTTTTTTTATATCGATGAATAAATATATATTGTAAAATTAAATTTATATTAGTATAACGTGTAAGCAGAATGATATATTAATTAATATATCAACGTTATGACTAAAATAAATATCACTGATTGAAAAAAGTGGAAACCTGATGATGCAACCCTATTATTTTTTGCCAAAATATACAAGCCCTATAGAAATGACTCAATTAATATATGTGTCACGTGCATCGCACGGGCTATGCACTAGTTCAATGGATGAAGAGTGTTTTTTTTTTTTTTTTCTTGAAATTCCTCCGATTACTGGGCTCGAGTAGGTGGCTTCTAAGTTCTAAACAAATCTAGACACGTAATATTCACATATTATAAAGAATTTTGTTAGAAGGAAAATTATGCCAATATGGTTGATATAGCTTCAGATAGACATGGCCAAAACCCGTGACCCGACTTGGCTCGCCGGGTCGCTGGGCTCGAAAACACTGACCCTGAACCAGCATGGGCCAATACTCGTGCCGGATCCGTGTCCGGGCCGGGTCCGTGTCCGGGCCGGGTCCGTGCTTTTTTTAAAAAAAGTATAAAAAAATTAAAAAAAAATTGAAAAGAAGGGTCATCGACCCGGCACGGCCCTGACCCTCCGGGCCGAGTCATGAAATGGATGACCCTTACACGGCCCGTTTGAAATCCGGGCCAGTCCTAGACACGTGGTCAACGGGTTTGACCGGTGGGCCGGGCGACCCTTTGGCCATGTTTAGCTTCAGTTCGATTTAAGAACTCGTTTAATAAGAAATCTATTAATATATAAAGATGCAGCCTAAATAATACTAAAATAGTAACTACAAAATAAGTTTAAATCCCGTAAAAAAAATAAATAAAAATAGTAACTTTTAAACATTTCAGATTAGGTTTGTTAATATTGAAACAAATCTACTTTAACATTTGAAAAGCATATCATTTTTTTTTTTTACACTCCTAAATATTTTTGGTGAATAAAAAATTAATATTTAATGTTAAAATAAATCCACTTTTAACATTTGGAAAGTATGACATTTTTTTTGGACACTTCCCAGTATTTTTTGTTGAATAAATAAATTAACATACAATATTGCATTTCAAACTATTAAATACCAACATTTCAATTTAATTAAAATCATGATTCATTTAGTTTGAGTAAGCCGAAAATTATTTTAATAAATCGACACGTATATTAATTTTGTTAGTGTCCAACCATGTATATCACAAATTGAAAAAAATCCCATATATTTACCTGATTTTTTGAAGTCAAATTTCATAACATGATATAACCAAATCAGATCAAATATTTTTTTTTCACTATCAGGTTAAACAATTAATTGCGGAGTAAAAAATTATTAAAATACTAATATTGATTCTCGACAACTGTCAATTATAATTGGTACTTAAAATGTTACAAATGAATCTAAACAATGTTGATAAACGAATTAAATCAAGGTAATTAAGATTTAAAACACCACGAGAATTGTAAAGAATATAATTTTCATTGAATTTTTAGTACAGGAGGTCGGAAACAGAGGAACCCGAGGTAATAAATGCGTGAATTTAATGTGTTGGTCGTGGTTCTCGTATCAATTTTAATGCTGCTATTTATAGTTACGTCTGGCACACCTTCCAAGAGAAGTCGGCTGTATTTAATGCGGATTTGATGTTTTAGGGGCGACAATGTCGTTAGCACACTTTTTAGGTAATGATGAAAGCATGGGTGCCCCTCTTACTGAGTGACAGGCGTCACTTCTGTCGGGGCGAGGTCGGATTCCTCTGGACATCAATTGTCCTACAGGTGTGTTAACCTGCGACGTCCTTCCCAAAGAACCGAGATGGCAATCCCGAGGTCACTTGTTCAATGTTGGGACGATCTGGGAGCTGCTTTGTTGGTCTTGAAAACCGAGGTGGTAGTACCGAGATGCCGATTAGTTACCGAGATGACACCGAGGATCTCCATCGCACCTCGGCCTTATAACAATTACCCCTGAATTCTTCTTAAATCCACTCGGAAACGCCCTTAATCTGTGGAATCTGATTTTGATATTAACATAGAGGCCCCTGTCATTAAGGAGTATGCAGACAAGCGTGCTTCTTAATGACACTTTTACCTCTAGCTCTGAAGTCATCCGTAGAACTTCTAAGAGTATACTGAGGTGATTTCCTTAGATGAAAATTTCATATTTTCGCGATCATTTGACGAGTATGAAGTTAAGAAACGGTTACTAGGCAGTTTCTAGATGCGATGAACGTGTCTTCCCTACTACTCCTCTCAAGGGACACGTACCATAAATGACGGTCGGGAATCATGACAGTTTTTGGGACACGTGTACGCTTACGATTAAGTTTTGAATATTTATGATGGGATTAAAGAGGTTTCCTCCAAAAGACACAACGGTTACTCAGACGTTTTCATCCCAACGGTCGGAAAACATCACATTCATATATATATAGCCGTTGTATCGGTTCGCAAAATCCATCTAACCAACTCATTCATATCTTTGATTTCTTGAACACTTCTGTTATCAAACTTTCCCGTCCTTCCCCCGTTCCTCAACGACTCACGAAAATCCTTTAAGAGTTCACCCAAGTTTTCGGTACGCCCTAATCTTATCTTTCGATTTTTTAATTCTTTTTATTTTTCTCTGCCCGTGGTTATGGCGGTGAGCGGTGAGCAAGGTGAACCAAGCAGCAGCCGGACTGTGTTTGACATGGAACTGGATGATGAATTGATGGAATTAATGGGGGATTATTACCAATGGGATCCCGTTTTCGTCGAGCGTCTGGATATCCGGAAACAACATCGAGGGATACGCCGAAGTGGAAAAAGACATTCCTGTCAAATCGGGATACTGGAGTCGTCTTGCTCGGCGATGGACCGATAATGGCGTGTTATTTTTAGGGGAGCCCAGCATTATGACGGACGCCGACGTGGTTCTGCTGCGCGAGTCGGTGCGGATTCCCTCCTCAGTTAGGATCTTTGCTCCTTATCCGGGAGAAAGAATTCATTGTCCTCCCTAAGGTCGGGTTTGAGGTTTCCCCTAGACAACGTGATCTCCGACTACTTGTGCGATTGGGGTCTTTGTCTTAGTCAAGTGACTCCCAATAGTTGGAAGAAGATCATAAGAATCATGGTTCTTTTGGCACAGAAAAAACTACGATTCCCAACAATTGACGAGTTGAGAGGTATATTTCATTTCCAGAGAAGTAGGGAGCGCGAGGGAGTCCCGCCAACCGGTTGTTTTTTGTGCGCGGCGAGGCCA